GGAGGACAGGGAGGCGGCTATTGCTTGGAGGGAGAGTCCCCCTCCCTACAACCACGTGTCATGGGCGGAAAATGGCCGTGGACCATGTGTCAGGGGCGGAAAAATGGCCGCGGACCGTGTCACGGGAGGGAAAATGGCCACGTATCCTGCTCGTACCCTGAGGCGGAGTTCGCAAACCAAGGTAAATTTTTGCGGCTGGAGCTGGTCGTAACCCGAAAAGTTCGTTAACAGAGGGGTTCATAACCCGAGGTACCACTGTATAAGATACATCCTAATGTAATTAGGATGCTACGAGGGGATGTTACTCCTTCAAATGTTAATAAACAACGTGTTCAGGAATGCCTGGGAAGACCCATTACTCCACAGACTGGTCAGATAAGCAGCATCTTGGATGGGGAGGTTTTGGTGAAGCATGTCTCAGGCTCAACAATTACTGGTAAGATTTACCTTTAACATCAGAGGTTTATCTTCCGCTGCTCACACCTCTGTCTTCGTAAATGGTAATTTCAACCTGTACAGTAGGTCTGTTAAGAAAATATACTGCAGGGCAAGTCACAGAGATAAAAATGAGGAATAGGGCTTACCCTAGATTTTCAACTGGATGTCCTTCAGAAGTGTTGGGCTTCTAACTTCCAGAGTCGACATCGTGGCTAGGGATTCTGGAAGCTGAAGTTCAATCTATCTGGAGGGCACCAGTGGTGAGAGAGTTCTTACAGCGGATATCCCCTTAGCAACTGTTCGTAAGCCAGCCTATCTGGACCTGGAACCCTGATAAAATGAAACCAGGACACATCCACCTTCTACTCCTCATAAGCAGAAAAGCTTAGAAAACTCTATACTGCATTTCTCTTGGCACTCATTTCAACATGTATGAGTTCTCTTTCTGGTGACAGAATTACCCCATAAAGCAAAAAGACCCCCTCCTCTATGGCAATCTTAAACATGCAGAGTCATGGGTGGGCATTTGTTCTAAGAGTCCATGTACCAACCAGAATCTAATCATGGCACCTTGAATAACACACCCATTACTTCGGGCTTACGACATACATGTCTGTCTGCTACAATATTAAGGAGCAGAACTGAAATAAGTGTCTTCCTCCCATCAGTTTCTCAGAGCAGTTTGTGTTTTGCTTATCCAGTCCTCCCTTTCTTAGTCCCGGCCAAAGTTTTCATGTGCTGAAATACAATGAAGGTTGCCCATACAGCTCCATGTGGGCTAATTATATTAAATACCATTTTCTCTCCAAGAAGCTCGAGGAAGTGCACATGGTTCTCCCAGTAACCCTACAAAGTAGATGAGGCAAAGAACCAACAGGTACAGGGAGCCCCCAGTTTAAGAACGAGTTCCATTCTCAAGGTCTGTCCTTAAGTTGAATTTGTATGCAAGCCAGAACAGTATTACTGTATAATTGTCAGGTCTAGCCCAAGGAACTCCAGGAGACCACGCAGATTCAGTCCAGCAATGTTTATTAGCTACAACCTCTAGCAAGAATCTTCCCAGACTGAAACCCAAGTCCCCAAGTCAGCCAGCCACAACATTGTGAATTCCTCAGGGAGGTGCCAGTCTCATCCTCTTGTATCTCCCACGCTCCTCTGGCGAGCTAAAAAAATGTTTTTCTCCCTGAGCCTGGCCTTCATAATTCCATTCCATCACAATAATACTGTATAAGTAGTATTGTGTAATGAAATCAAACCATTGTGTATTTAATTCAAATTTTGCTACAATAGGCTCCGTCTTAACTATGGGTTGTCCTTAACCTGAGCGTTCTTAACCCAGGGACTACCTGTAGTCCAAGATGAGCCAAGGAGCTTCTAATTTGAGCAGAGCTTGGAATGCGCTCTTTAAATGCTTGCCCAACACTTGCTGATACAGACCAGATGAAATATTGTGCTGGACCAAAGCTGAAAGTAACCTTCACTGACACCAAAGTCACCAACAGTTTCACCCAGCTCCATTGTTTGTTTTTAAACAGCCACCGCATGGGGTTTTGTTTTGGGTTTTTTTGGTGCACAAAGGGGTGGACAGAGAGAGGCAGTCCATGTGCTAGCAAAAGTTTAGGAATCCACAGAAAAAGATACAACCCTTAGTCCCCTCTCAATGGGGTCAGTCAAGAGGAGGCCTTGTGGGGCATAGATCTTCTCGTTTTGCTCCTGAATGTACTTGGCAATTTTCTTTAGAACCTGGAAAAAACAGACACATGCTTGTTTCAATTCCAGCTGTTATAAATTCTTAGTAATGCTTTCAAGTGATGAAGGTGTTAGACCAGTGTTTCTCCGCCTTGGCAACTTGAAGATGTGTGGACTTCAACTCCCAGAATTCCCCAGTCAGTCATGCTAAGGTTGAGAAACACACTACTCTAGTTGTTGTTGTGGGTGTTAGGGTTAGGGAATTCTGGGAGCTGAAGTCCACACATCTTCAAGCTGTCAAGGCGGAGAAACATCGTGTTAGATTGACAACAGGGAGACCCATCTTCATGCCAGTCACTCTCTCATAACCCAACTGAACCTCACAGAATTATTGTTGTTATGGAAATCTTATATTGTGATTAAATATAAACACATACCAAATAAAAAACTAATACTGAACTGAAAACTATCACTGACCTCAAGGTGGTCATCCATGAGCAAGGCCAATTTCATTAATAGCTACAGTAACTGGAAATCATTACATCATTTAACACCATTCTCATGGAATAAAAGGAAACCAAGGAACTATAGAACATGCCTGTGTTTACCCAACCAACCAACCAACTCATGGTTTAATGAACTGACGCAATTGTCTTGGTTTGCACAAGACAGAGCTATAAATTCAACACACTGGTTGTGGTCACACATCACACTGAGCCACAAACTGGGGCACCACATTTTAGCTCAAAATATTGTGCAAGTTCAGTCCAAGTATAAACTAGCTCAGAACACCTATATCACATTCAACAACTGTCTACAGCCACTAAAAAACATTAGTCTTTTACCGTCAAGGTCGACTCGTGGTGGACCTTCAAGGACACATCCTTGAAGAAAACTAGCTTTCCTGGCAGCAATGTCGAAGTAGCTTGCCATAGCCTTCTGCCATGGTGTTTGTTTTCTAGTCTAGCCTACATCCCAGTAGTCTCCCATCCAAATATTAACCGGGCCTGACTCTGTTTAGCTTCCAAGCTCACAGAATACCTGCAGGCAATTCTCACAATTGTCTCTGACCTCTCCCTGCAATGACAGTGTTGTGTGTACACATTTGGGCACATGCATATAAAAATATTCTTCTCTTGAGGCAATACTCCCAGCAACTACCTCAGCAAATACACCCTGGCTGCCAACCCCAGTGGAAAATCTGAAAGGTTGTTTTACATAGGAATGTAGGTTATTTGGATCACAACTGACAACCCACAAAATGTATCACTTAAAATATTTGTAAAAGGTTCTATTCATCTACAGATTAGCATTAGACTGAAGTGTGGTATTTGGAAAGTATTTTATTCCAAGTTTAGAACAGGTGGATTTTAAAAGCCAACTTGGCTGGATCTAAACATGTTCAGTGCCCATTGTGAAAAAGAGAATACCACAAAGGCACTCTCAGTAGAGAGACCTCAGAGTACCCATGGGCTGGCACAAAATCCAGATGACATAAAATTAGGAACAGAAGCAATTAGTGTGAAATTGATTCTACCTGGCAGAGCCAGAGAACCATGTCATGCTGACTTCTGAGAAAACATGACTTTTTTTCCCCTTCCTAATAAAAGAGTATTATCTGGCCAAAAACAAGGCTTTGTAATGCCAGGAAAGTGGTGGATGGAAAAATTTCACTCCTTCTTTCAGGAAGGCCACCCTGAAAACGTCACCAATGGCATGAAAGCCAAGTAGCCAGTTAGGGCAATAGGTGTGAGATGGAAGCACTAAGAGTAGGCTTATTTTCCGTGGCTGAGTTTATGGCAAGGAAGCTTGAGTGACATAGAGGGACATCTTGCCTGAAGCAGTTGAATGCAGCTTGCCTAGCACCATATTGTTCTCAAAAGGAGCCGGTGTTGGATGCAGGCATGGAATATAAGGCAATGCTTTTAAAGGGCAAGGAAGAAGATGAAAACTAAATTTCTGGGCAAAGGCAAGGCTACCGGACAGAAACTAGGGAGAGCCAGGTTCAAGTCCCACTCAACCATGGAATTCATTGGTTCATTTGAGACCAGACTTTTTTTCTCCATCCTACCTATTTCACAAGGCTGTTAGAAGCATAAAAGGAAGGGTTCCCCAGGTATTCTGCTATTAGTTCTTTAAAGGAGGGCACAATATACCTTTAAGAAACAAAGACAATGTGAAAAAGGAGTTGGAAGAGCCAACTGTCAGTTAGTGCTTTAAAACAGCCTCTCCCCATTTATTGGAGTATAACTCCAAATTCCTACCAAAATTTAACCCACTTGGAGGGCGCTACCAGGCTGAGGAAAAACGTTCTGAGAATCATCAGGCCCTCTTTCAGAACACAGGACAGGAACAGAAAGACTCTAGAAGAGATTTCTCCCTTCTGTGGATCGTCATAGTTTACAATAAGGAAACGGAGCATGGAGAATTCTCCTCTGCCTCCAGGAAATCCAAAATACTTCCAGGTCTGCACAATAATGTCCTACTTGATGTCCTCAATTAACTGCTGTGGTTCGACCCATGTTTCACAGCACACCCCTAAATAAACGTAGAGCTGAGTTCTCTCTTGGTTCTGCTCCCTGTTGGTGGGACATTCCAAATACGTCTATGCTTCTACAGTTATCACTGGCCAACTTCCACACAGCAAAGAGTAGCCAGATACACACTGAGCCCACCTTTATTTCTTTCTTAGATTTATATCCCACCTTTCATTCAGGAGGGTACAAGGCAGGGTCCACAGTGCCTCCTCCTCCTGTTTTTCCCCACTCCAACAACTCTGTGAGGTAGGTTGGGCTGAGTATGTGTGATTAGTGGCTCAATCACTAGATTCAAAGACTGGATTCACATATAGATGGCTTCACCACATTCTTTTGAATTATATTGATCACATATGTACCACATAAAAACAGAAAATGTTGCCCCCATCCCCAGGGAGGGGGATGGAAGTCATGTAAAACCCTGCACATGGGGGCACTGCATAATATAACACCTGTATCTCTTTGCTCTGAGAACTTAAGGAAAGGTGGATTGCACATACTGATTGGAATGGAGCAGGTAACCACATCCTGTTGGGGCTCTAAGTGTTTGGTTTCTTTTTTTTTTATCTGTTCAATTGTGTCCGATTCTCGGAGACTGCCTGGACAAGTCCCTGCAGTTTCTTGGCAAGGTTTTTCAGAAGTGGTTTGCCATTGCCATCTTCTTCCTAGGGCTGAGAGAATGAGACTGGCCCAGCTGGCTTTATGCCTCAGGCAAGACTAGAACTCATGGTCTCCTGCTTTCTAGCCTGATGCCTTAACCACTATGCCAAACTGGCTCTCAACTGGGGTTTAACATGCCCCAAAGATGCCTTCCCAATATTTTGTTGCAAGGGATTAATGCTGTTCCTTCTGTGGATTTTTTTTTCCTGCCATCAAACCTCCAGTTTGCAGGCATTACCTTTTTTTCTTTTAGGGAAAGAAAAGGAAATCAGCTGACCTTCTCATAATGTGTCTCCATGCACAGAAATATAGTGTAGGCGGTCAAGCAAGCCAAGCACCCTTCAAGGTAGGACTGGCTCCCAAGTTTCTCCGCTTCTGCATAAAGATTATTCAGGGTCCGTACAGTTTCTTCAAATTGCTGCCTGTCAATCTGAACAAAGGATCTCGTTTAGAAACAGACATTCAGGCAGGTACAAAATCTAGTTTCTTAAACAGGAGCAACCTTCAACATATTTAGATGCAAGCCATATGGAATTCAATGGGTCAGATCCCTGTGAAATATAGCTCGACCTCTTGGATGAGGAGGGCTACGCTACTCTGTCAGGAGCTTCATGTTCAGAACTGAGGCAGAGGAAACAATTACAAGTTTTAAAATAGTCACAGACAGAATACAATTTGCTTCAGAAAAGCATTCCAAGACATTTTCCAAAGTGTTCCTGGCACAACTCAATTCACAAAAGAAAGCAATCAGCTGCTACCATGAAAACAGTATGTTTTTCCTTGGTGGAACTGCTGATCAAAAGATCACAAAGAGAAATCATATTATTTGCCTTTGCTTTCGACACTGATATCTACCCAGCACAAGTAGCCAGTAAATTATGAGTATTTGAGAACAAAAATGCCAGAAAATTCTGAACAGCAGAGAAAAGCTTGACCCACATAGCAAGAACAGTAATTTCAGGACATAACAGTGACTCATTACTCTTAATCCATTAAGGACGATTTTACCAGGACTAGTTTTAACAGGTTTCTTTTCTTCCATTTCTTTCACTCAGGAGCTGAGAGGTGCTTAGAGGCAGAAATCTAATTCAGGCTCCAGTCCTGGATGCACTGAATTAGGAGGCTCATTCAATGCAGTGAAGTTTACTTCCTAGCAAATACACAGAGAATCTGGCTGTCAAATTCTCAGTTACCTCCGAACATTGCAAGTTTGACCTTGCCTTTCTTTCAGGAATCTTACAAGATGACAATGCTGTCCCCAAGGTACAGGCACGTAAGCTCTGAGGTCCCTCCTCATGCTTAACCAGGTTAGTTAAAGACCTAGCAGCTCCACATTCACACAGGCTACATTTGATGAGGCTACTTTTGTGGCCTTCTGTGCAGTGTCAATCCAACACCTTTGGTTTATTATTCAATGCATTGACTTGAACACAGAAAATGGGGGCTGCGTGTTCATTCATTTTTATTTATTTGTAGGTTTTATAAACCACTTCACTCCAAGGGCTCTAGGCAGCATACAAATTATGTCCAAGTGTGATACAAAATAACAGTAGTGTAAAACCAATAGAATTGTAAACAACAAGAACTAAATGTCAAAGTTAGGGTTCTTTCTGAATTATTACAGATGGTTTTTACCAAGGATGTTTTTGACAATTAACACTGGAAATATAGCCGTTAATTTAACATTTACTGTAGACTGTGGACATTTTCTACACATTGCTGCTACTGATTTATTTGGTGTATGGCATCTCATACATGGATGTACTTTAAATATTAGCACTTAGCCTAAGTTAAAAACACTTTAAAATATAAATGTTAAAAAGGTCTATATTCAATGCTGCTACTGATACCTTATTTTGATTGTAAACTGCCATGAGTCTGCATGGATTCAGCAGCATATAAACCCAATCAATCAAATATGTTTGCCAGAGTGTTACTTCAACCTGGCTAATCTGTGCCTATGACCAATTGATCTTTTGAAAACAGATCTCTTCCTACGAATTCTTCAAGATGAGGACAGTAACCACAAGAACCATGGAAACAGGATAGCAGCATCGATCCTGGGCACACAATCACTTTGCAGCTGGGACTGCATTTTTCTCTAGTTTCTTGGTATTCAAGAGCTACAAGGGAGACAGCTGGGATCGCAAGACATCACTTGAAACAGAATTCTCCCTTCTTCCATTTTGGAAGCTCTCCTTTTCTTTGTTTAAAGTAAAATAACTGCACAAAGCCTATTGTAGCCTTACTGTGCCCATTCTACTTTTTGGTTTGGCATAAACCACTGAAACTCCACAGTTAGCTGGAGTCAGCTTGGAACAAACCATTGTTACTCTTTGGTCTGCTGCTGAATTCAGCAACACAATCTCAGGAGGCTTCAGAGAGGCCACATGGGGCTTGCAGCCTGCTCCTCCCTGCAAAGGCATCCAGTGGAACCCATTATGATGTCACCTGTGTGATGACATCATTGCAGGAATTACACGAATTATCAGTCACATCATTTGCGGTATGACGTCATGACGCACATGCCATCATTTTCTCTCCCCCAGGACCAGACCTCCCTGCTATATAGGAAAGGGTCTGCTTAAGAGGCCCTCCATATATCAGCCTTGAGAGTTCACAGTCAAGCTACTTGTCTGGTAAAGAAATAAAGATTTGCTCCAGGCATAGTCCTCTTTCTCCACCAGCAGCTGTCGCATTTCTATCTGGAGAAGAGGGAAAGGACAGACCATCCGCTCCCTTCTCACTCATTTGTATGTCATTCCTTATCATCTGAGAGCCAGTTTGATGTAGTGGTTAAGGCATCAGGCAAGAAACTGGGAGACCATGAATTCTAGTCCCACCTTAGGCACAAAGCCAGCTGGGTGACCTTGGGCCAGTCCTTAGAAAGGAGGTGGCCAGGGCAAACCATTTCTGAAATCTTGCCAAGAACACTGAAGGGACCCATCCAGGCAGTCACCAGGAGTCAAGACTGACTCAAAGGCACCCCTCCCCGCAACACCTATGACCATCACACTTTTCCTTAAACATAGACTGAACATAAGGCATAATTATAAGATGGACGCATCAGTTCCTAGTGTCATAGAAAAATGTGCCATGCCCTTAGCATTTGTTTAAAATGAGAGGTAAAGAATCTAGTATTTCGAAGTCTCCAGCCACGCTTCCCAAACTTTCTCCTTCTGCAGAAACCGCCCAATGGCAAGCAAATGGGCTGCTCAGTGGATCCACCCGGACATGCTCTTCTTCATACTCACCATCATCCAAAGTAGGGGGGAAAGCCACCAGAGGTTTTCACTTGCCAAACTCCACTCCCCTGAGAGCTTGCAAGACTCCAAAGGGAAAGGGTCTCTCCGAAACCTAGTTTGCTCTGCTTTGCTCCCAATGCTCTTAAGATAAGCAAAAGGTTCACTGCCAATTATCCTTCCACGCAGAGCTGGCATGACTTGACATTGTACAATTTAACACAACTACATTTTCCTCTTCTAATTAGTGGCAGATCCAAACCTGAATCATTTAACCCCAAGAACCCTCTGATGTCCAAAAGAGAGATGCTGAGAGACAGGAAGCACTGCTGTTGCTTTAGTCACCATCTGTAATAAAGAGATTTCCACAGACAAATGTGACTCTTGCGTGGCTTCTTTTAATTGCTTGAGCTCAGCACTCGGCAGGACAGACTTGTTCTGCACACGTCTAAACAGGAAGTAGCCACCATCAAAGACAGCAGGATTACAGCTCTGAGATTTCACATTCAAAGCTTATTTCTGTACTGTAACCTTAAATCCAATCCAAAGTTACCATTCTAAACAAATCAGATGTATTGGAGATCAAAGGATTCAAACAATAGGATTGAAATATTTGCCTGTTGCAGAACAGAAATAAAAGTAGGCTCTGAAACACTTGTTTCAAAATCTATACAATAATAGGTTTTCAATTAAAATACAATAACATTGGGCTCTCATTATGTGCTCTAGGGGTAGATCTCCCATACTCCGCCTTCTCTGCTTTGGAAAAGATGGCTTTTCCTGCATCTCTGTCACTAGTACTGGCTACTGATTTCAGCTTAATTATAAATAGAATTTACCATCTTGACCTTTTTCAATTAAAAACAATACAGAACGATAAAACAACTAAAGACTGCACTGGTTGTGCAGAGTTTAAAATCCAGGAGAAATACAGCTATGCAGTGAAGACTGCGTAGGAGGAAAGCCATGTTAGTCTATGATAGCCCAAAATCAGGAGGAGTTTGGTAGCACCTTTTCCAACTAGCAAATTGTATTAAAAGACATAAATGGCAGCTCATGAAAGTTTATGCCTTTTAATAAATTTGCTAGTCAGAAAATCTGCTACTAGATTCCTTCTGATTCTATGCAGTGCAGTGTTAACTACATGAAATAGCTATTTTGACAAGGGAAAACCTATCCTTTCCTCTGGGATTCTCAAAAAGCACTTTCATTGCTCTCAAGGAGCAGGAAAATATTTTCACACTGGGTGATCTTAGCTGTACAGAACAGATAACAATTACTGCTCTCCCACTGGCTTTTCTTTATAGAACGAACAGCACCACAGAAATCACTACCAACCCTTCTGCTACTTTCTGCTCTAACCAGCCCAAGACAACAATTAGCTATCAGGTCAAGTTTATTCAGCCCGAGCCATTTCTAGAAGAGCTTGGTATTTTATATTTGGAAGGAGGTTCTCACTCTTAATACATTTTCCTCCCCGGGTACTGAATTAAACATTTAAGAAGTTCAAAACGTTAAAGCAAAAATTAGGCAGGTGCAAAACCAAATGTTTCAGAGTGTTCAGTGCCACTGTAGACCATGCCAATGTTTTAGGAGTGGGTTTTACACATCTCTAAAAACCATCTACTTAGTATCAGGAAGCAAACAATAACATAGCAGTTCATCAGAGTTAGTTTTATGTAACTTGGCTCCCTGTGTTTGATAGTGTTAAAGCAAATACAATATAAGGTAATGCTTGAACTGCAATTTATTGAAGCCATCGTAGCCTGGTACACGGATCAAACAGCCTTAGATCAGGCATAAGTGAACTGAGACTCTCCTATCAATGGTCATGCTAAGATAGCTAGGAACTGGAGTTCATCATCCTCTGTAGGACCAAACAGAGTTTTTCCCTATCTAAAACAGGTTTTAACCAAAGTATGATTTGATTTGGCAGGTGACAAATCCAGTCACTGAAATCACAGCACAGGGTTCAGCACAGAGGTTTCCACAAACTTGGGAAGGGGGGAGGGAGTGTTAGTGGATGGATAAAGAATTCTGAGCACCTGTTATGTGTACTTGCAAACTGGCTGATATAAAAGACATAGTAGAAGACTCCTTACTACCAAGTGACTCCTTTGAAAGGAGCCATACTTCCACCCATCATTTCTAAGAAAGTTCACAATGCTGGAGGCTATCGTCTTTGCTTTGTACCAGGCTAGCTCCTCACTTTTTAATTAATTAGACAGACAGATTCAGCTGAGGTACAGAAGCAAGCAAGCTGCCATGAAAAGTGGGCAATTGGGCACCCCAGGCACAGTGTGTTAGACAGACCCAGCCCACTTTGGTTTGTTAAAGCAGATTATAGTTTAAAGCTAGTGGTTACTCACCCGATTTTCCAACTCTGGGGGGAATTTGGTCTGGAACTGGCACTTAGTGCCACTGCTGTAGTCCCTCTGGATGAAGACTTTGCTGGCAACAGGCGGCTGCTGTGGCCTCATCTCGCAGCTCAAACTGGCCAGTCTGGATGTGAAAGGAGAGACAGACACAGCGCAACGGGCCTTTAAGCAAGGCAGACAGCTGCTTTCTTTTGATGGAGCCCTATCAGACCATCAGGTCACTCGAGTTTTATATTACATTTGCCGTCTGCACTGGAACATGCGCCTGCCTGGTTCTACACACTGGGCAACTATTATAAACAATTAAATAACCTGATGTAATTGGCATGCATACTGAAGGCCTTAATCCCTCTACTTAAAAAGGATGACTATTGGATACGTAAATTAATATTTAATGGCTCCAGTTGTTATGAGGTACATGCACCCACAAAATACGATCTTCAGCACCCTGCTTTTTGTCCTGTAATCATGAATATACTCCAAGATAGCTCTTTGAAACATGAAACAGCACTCATGGTTCAGGTCTCCCTGCAATTCAAGAGAAACTCCACTGTTCTCTCTCTCTTTTTTAAGGCCAACGAGGAGAGGTGGAAAAGACCGGGAATATTTAGCCTTGAGAAGACAAGGCTGAGTGGATGATATAAGAGAGCACTCTCCAAATCAGTGTTTCTCAACCTCAGCCACTTGAAGATGTGTGGACTTCAACTCCCAGTATTCCCCCCCCCGCCCCACCCGCCGGGGGAGTTTGTGGATTGAAAATGTCAAAACATCCCAAGGCTGTGGGTGGGGGAACACAAATAGGGGAGAGGGCC